GGGGAGAAACTCTATGAATGTAAGCAATGTGGAAAAGCCTTCAGCACACACAGTAATTGTCGAATACATGAAAGAATTCACACGGGGGAGAAACCCTATGTATGTAAGCAATGTGGGAAAGCATTTAGCAGGCACAGCAATTGTCAAATACATGAACGAACTCATACTGGGGAGAAACCCTATGTATGTAAGCAGTGTGGGAAAGGTTTCAGCAGACATGGTACTTGTAGAATACATGAAAGAACTCACACTGGGGAGAAACCATATGCATGTAAGCAATGTGGGAAAGGTTTCAGCAGACATAGTCATTGTCAACTACATGAAAGTACTCATATTGGGGAAAAACCTAATGAATGTAAGCAATGTGGGAAAGTTTTCAGCACACACAGTGATTGTCAAAGACATGAAAAAACTCACACTGAGGAGAAACTTTATGTATGTAAACAATGTGGCAAAGGTTTCAGGACACAGAGTGATTGTCAAAGACATGAAAGAACACACACTGGAGAGAAACCCTATGTATGTAAGCAATGTGGGAAAGCGTTCAGCAGACATGGTAATTGTCAAATGCATGAACGAACACACACTGGGGAGAAACCCTATGTATGTAAGCAGTGTGGAAAAGCTTTCAGCAGACATGGTGCTTGTCAAATACATGAGAGAACTCACACAGGGGAAAAACCTTATGTATGTAAGCAGTGTGGGAAAGCATTCAGCAGACACAGTCATTGTCAAATACATGAAAGAACTCACATTGGGGAGAAACCCTATGAATGTAAGCAATGTGGGAAAGCTTTCAGCACACACAGTGATTGTCAGAGACATGAAAGAACTCACACTGGAGAGAAACTCTATGTATGTAAGCAGTGTGGGAAAGCATTCAGCACACTGAGTAGTTGTCGAACACATGAAAGAACTCACATGGGAATAAAGCCCCATATATGTAAGCAGTGTGGGAAAGCATTCAGCACTCGAAGTCATTGTCGAATACATGAAAGAATTCACACTGGGGAGAGACCTTTTGTATGTAAGGAATGTGGGAAAGCTTTTAGCACACACAGTAATTGTCAAGTTCATGAAAGAACTCACACTGGGGAGAAACCCTATGTATGTAAGCAATGTGGGAAAGCTTTCAGCACACCCAGTTGTTGTCGAAAACATGAAAGAACTCATAGCAGGGTGAAACCGTATGTATGTAAGCATTGTGGGAAAGCTTTCACAACACAGAGGTATTGTCGAATACATGAAATAATTCACACTGGCCAGAAGTCCATTGAATGTAAGCAGTGTGGGAAAGTTTTCACAACACAGAGAGGTTGTCGAGAACATGAAAGAACACACTGGGGAGAAATCCTATATGTGTAACCTACATCTATGTGGGAAAGCTCCTAGTGCACACAATATGTGTCAAAGATATTAAACAATTCACTGAATATAAACCATACATATATAAGCAATGAAGAAGAACTTTCAGTACACAATCATGTTGTCACATACATGAATCATAAGTGGTAAAAATGCTGTCTATGTAAGATGGAAAACATTCACTTGGGTTCTTAGATATTAAACAAGATGAATTTGTGAATATATAAAGTGACTTGCACTGACTTGAAAGGACATAAAGTGAAGTTTTTTCATTGTAGGCAATATGAAAAATTGAATCCTAACACTAACTTCAGTAACCTCCTAGGCCAAGTTTCTTTTCTCCCTCTGTCAAGATATTTGGTACATGGTTGAGATTGTACTGCAATCTACCTGAGTCCTCAGTAATGGGAATATTTCTTTGCATGTCCTCTTGGCTTCCTTTGTCCTTTCTTCAGAAATATGAACACAAAACCACTCCTCTCAAAGATACCTGAGTTAATCTACCCTCCTGATTTCCAACAAGTAGTCAAACCACTGCTTGCTGGGTGTTTGGAAGCCTCATGTTTGAAAACTGTGCTATTTTGTTTACTGTGACCAAACTGTATAATTCCTCTGTTTTTTTTACCTTGTTAAAATGTAGACAAATATGTATAAATCTATAGTTTCTTACAACTTGGTAATTTAGTGTTTATTTTTCAGTAAACTTTATTTTCAAAAAGGTTTTGGGTGAGACCTAATAACAATATAAACATCTCAGGAATACTGAGACATTCTTATACCTAAGCTTTGGGCAGTGACTAAGAATACCCAGTTGAAATCCTACTTATTGTTGTTTTCCCCTTGGATTACCACTGTCACTTCTTTTGCTGTTTTTCCTAACTTTACCATGTGTCCATGTCACTACCAGTATTCTTTCCATTTTGAATCTTTGGAATGTTCAGTAAGTGGGTATTACAGAAATTTCACAGAAATACATTCTATGTGGTGTCTTTATCTCACCGTATTTCACATGTGTTCATGTCTGAGTTAGGGGCAAAGAACTACCTCATCCATTATGGTGGTTACATGGTTGAAGTTTGCTCAAGTTTATTTTTTATAAATGTGAAAAGAATGACATTTTCTCTAGAACAGTGGCACATATTTTCTGGATATTGCAATAAAATCATTGGCCACAGATACTGGTCTACTCTGAAGTATAGTATATGGCTGTGGAGTGTGTCATTTGATCATTTATTTCTTCATAAGTCTACTTACTAGTAACCTCTTTCCTCAGTTTCATTTTGTTTGCCTATTTTTGCAAGCAATGTCATGGATCTTGTTTATATTTGGGGTTTTATCTTGAGTTATATGTTTTCATTTTGCTTATGTGTTTCTTGATTTTTACTCAGTATACAAATTATTTTTATTGTATATAGTACAAATTCTGTTTATCTTTTACCTCCTTTGATTTACATACATTTAAATTTGTCCTAATTCTGATGGCTTCATAATATTCTTCTGGGGAAACAATTTTTTCACCTCCAAAATATGTTTAACTAATTTCTCAAAGTATTTGTTTATCTTTCCTGTTTAAAGATGTAACTAAATTATTGTACATGGATATGAAGAATAAAGTGCACGTTTCGATATATGTACCTATTTGGCCTGGTCTCCTGTATTAAACAGAAGATGATTTCTACTGTTTTATACAATAAAAGTGCTATCGTATATCATTGTTTTATTTACATGTGAGCCCTGTCTTTCTCTTCATTGTACTAATTGATGACTCCCCTAATTAGAAGATTTTAAGTCTTTTTCCTATATATTAAACAAGGTCTTACATTGTCTACTAGTCATTGAAAATTATAAAACATTTGTGATAATTAACAAATATTTTTGCCAAATGTAAGGTGAGATTTGGATGTGACAATTTTTCTATGATATTTCCATTTATTATTCTTGTTAATTTAAAAAAATAATTAGTGTCAAATACATATATATTTTGATCATGTCCAACCCCAGTCTCCCTTATGCTACCCTAGAAATGCTTTATATCTTTGTGCAGGTGACCATTTTTTGTCCTTGAGCTGTAAGAATTTATGTTCCCTAGTCTAAGTTCATTTTCTTATACAATCTCTAATAAAATCTAATATTTTTATTAACACTTTACATAATCACTCATTAATTTTACTTGTTTAGTTAAGGTTTTATCTACAAAACTGGTTTAAATTTCAAATGCTGCCTAAATATATACAGTGGGAAGACATGGATTCCCTATATAAGTTGAGAAAAGATATTTTCATGATCAGAGCATTCATTAGATGTTTTTCTACCTGATATTTGTCCATAAATGTTGATCATTTAGGCTTTAGGCTTCCTCTTTGAACCATGCTTTAGAGAAAGTGCATGTGGAAAATTAAGGTAAACCAGTAGAACCAGAGATCCTCTTCTGCTGTTGCTTTAGAAATTATCGTGTGAGATATGCATATGAATGTAGAGTAAGTGTTTAATGAGCAAAACATAAAGTAAATATTTAGAAGGTTCAGACACATTTCAGCTTGTTATGAGTAGATTTTAGATAGTTCCTGTGGTGAATCTTGTTCATCCTGTATATATATATATCTGCTGATTTAGAAAGCAGTGACCTGAGAAGTTATATCTGTAAACTTCATCATGAAGGAGTGGGCTTTCCTGGATCCATCTCCAAAGAAGGTCTAAGTACATGAGATGTGGGAAACCTTTAAGAATGTACTTTTATGATGTCATTTTTTCATGTATGCAATTGGAGATCATTGTCTGTTGCTCATCAGTGCAGCTTCCTGAAGTGGAGTATGGGAACATTTTGATGACTCTTCCAAGCATAGTTATATTGTACCTTGAATCTGACTGGTAGAGTGAAGCAATCTAATATAACAAATCATCATTATATTTGTTTGTACCCCACAAAAACAAACTGGGATTGTGACCAAATTGAAGATGAGTACAAAAAATGCAGGAGATACCTAAGGTAAATTTACCTAAGGGAGATATCACAATGGATTCTGTGGAAAACTAGATGATCATCAATACCTAGTGAAAGAACCTTTAATAAGATAGAAGAAATAGACTCATAGATACATATGGATTACTGAAGTTAAATCAAGACGATATAAAACTTCCAAATTACATCATCTCAGTCAATCAGATTGAAAATATAACTAAAAACTTAGCAACAAAGAAAAGCCCAGGTCATGATGGACTCACTGCTGAATTTGTGAACAAATTTAGAGGTGATCTAGTGCCATTACTTGTCAAACTCTTTAATGAAATTGAAAGAAATACAATACTCCAAAATTCATTCCTGGAAGCCAGCATTATCCTGATAGCAATACCAGAGAAAGACCCAAATGAAATGGAGAACTACATGCCAGTCTTCCTAATGAACATATATGCAAATATCCTCAAGAAGATGGCAAACAAAATTCAGTAAATCATCAAAAAGATTATAGAGCTTGACCAAGTAGGATTCATACCAGGGATGCAGGGAAGGCTGAACATATGCAAGTCAATACATGTGATATTCCATATTAACAAAACCAAGAACAAAAATCTTACGATCATTTCAATAGTTGCAAAAAAATTTCACAAACTCAAATAACCATTCATGATAAAAACTCTGCAGAAAATTGGAATAGATGGTATTTATTTTAATGTGATTCAATAAAAAACTGAAAAGCCATCATATAGAAAATTCAATAGCTGGAAAGTTTCTCTCTAAAATCAAAAATAAGATGAGGATGCCCCACTGTCACCACTTCTACTCAGTATAGTTATGGAAATATTAGCTAGAGTAATAACACAAGAGATAGAAAAAAAGGAAAAAATATAGGAAAAGTAGAAGATAAATTATTTGTAAATGACATGATATTCCTCATAGAAGACCCCCAAAAATCCGCCAGTGCAATTTGAAAGTCACCACTTTAAAATCAATAGGCTTTCTGTACATGGATAATGTACTGATGAGAGAGAAATCAGGAAAATAGAAACTTTCACAATAGCACTGAAAAAATGGAGTACTAAGGAATTGATCTTAAAAAGGAATTAAAAGATCTCTACACTGAAAACTGCAGTGCTCTGAAAAAGGAGATCAAAGAGAATATCAGAAAATGGAAAGATATCCCTTGCTCTTGTGTAGGAATAACCCACATAGTAAATGTAACAATACTGTCAATATTGTTGCATAGATTTACTGCAATCCCAATTAAAATGCCACTAGCATAACTCACAGAACTAGAGAAAAGCTTTTTAAAATTCATTTGCAACCAGAAGAAACCTAGAATAGCAAAAACAGTTCTGGGAAACCAAAGCAAAGCAGGAAGCATCACAATTTGTGACTTGAAATTATACTAGAGAGCTACTCTGAAAAAAATAGTGTGGTACTAAAAACAGACACGAGACTCAATGGAACAGGTAAGAAGAGACTGAGAAAACTTCAAATACACTCAGCCATCTCACCTTTGATAAAGGAGCCACACACATTTACTGGAAGATAGAAACCCTCTTCAATCAATGGTGCTGGAAAAACTGGCTTTGCTCATGCTAAAAACTTAAACTAGATACATGTATCTCACAATGCATGAAAATAAATTAAAATAAATCAGAGATCTAAATATTTAAAGAGAGTGAATCTGCTAGAAAAAAGAATAGGCAGAACTCTCGAAGATATAGGTGTAGGCAAAGACATCATGAACAAAACCCTGACTACAAAGGAAATAACTACAAAAAATCAAAAACTGAGATCTCTTCCTATTAAAATGCTTTTGCCAGCAAAAAATAATACCAGCAGCAAAATGAAAGACAACTCACAGAGTGGGAAAAAATCTTACCCAGTTGTTCTTCAGACAAAGGACTAATATGTTGCATATATAAAGAATTCAAGAAAATTAGATCCACCAAATTTTAAGATCCAATTCAAAAATGGGCAACTGAGATGAATACACACTTTTCAGAAGAAGTTCAAGTGGCAACTAAATACATGAAAAAATGCTCAGCATCACTGATCATTCAGGAGACACAAATTTAAAAACACTGAGATATCATCTCATGCCAGCTAGAATGGCTATTATCAACAAGTGCATCCCTAACAAATGCTAGTGGGGCTGGGGAATAAAGGAACCCTTCACTGCTGATGGGAGTGTAGGCTGCTGCAACCACTGTGGAAATCAGTGTGGAGATTTATCAAAAACTAGTACTAGAGGTTCTATTTTACCCATACCACAAAATGGTGTGCCTCCTGCAGTTCCCACATGGAAGGACAGCTAGATCATGGGAAAAATAAAGATAAGAGGTAAAAAGCTGAGTTCAGGTGGAGCTCTCTCTCTCTGGATGGGAGGAAAGAAAAACTGCTCAATGACCATAGTGGCTTTTATTTATATATTTGACAAAGTTAGTGTCATGTGATACAGCCTTGCCTACTAACAACTAATAGCTTGTCCCATGTGCTCTTTATTCTTGGACTGGTCTTGCTTCACCCTCACACATGTGATATATTCCAGCTTCAGCCCCTCCTTACATCTTCCCTTTTTCTGTTTTGTAGTTACAAGTGATGGGTGTTCAGTTGAAGTTGGGGGAGCTATGTATGGAGGACTTCTATAGACAAGTTTCTTTCTTATGATTATACTTTTCTGCAGGATATTCAAGACCAACTTAAAGTGAAATTTGTATTAATTAATTTTTGCTATCTATCAAGGTCAGTTGTGTCCTCAGGAATTACCTTTGAACCAAGTAAACTGACCACTCTTCTACCAATTGGAGTCATATCCAATTATCTCACCCTACCCTAGGTATTTCTGTTTAATTATCTTAACAATTTTGATGTCCTATGAGAAAATCAAATTTAATATCATTTTTTACCAGCTGGTAACCCATGTGGAAGAATGCTTTTAAGTCTATAACCCAAATTGTATTAAGAACAAATGATCCAAAAATGGAAAAATAAAAAGGAAAAGAGAAAAGAATTGTTGAGGTCAAACAAAAAAAAACAGCTGCTCACAGATATGACAAACAGTCAGAAAAGCTTAGCAGACTGGACAAACAAACATCTTATAAAATCAGAATGCATTCAAATATGTTTTTGGAGCCAGGTATGGTGGCTCATGCCTGTAATCCCAGCACTCAGGAGGCTGCGGCAGGAGGATGGTTGTGAGTTCAAAACCAGCCTGGCCTACAAAGTGAGTTCAAGAC